GAGCACCTCAAATATTTTCCCCTCTGTTTGTAGCCACTCCCAGTCGGGAGACACCTCCCGGGTGCCGGCACCGAGCCGTGGCTGGTGGCAGCATTTTGGGGGGGCCCGCACCCCCCCGCCCTGCTCCCTTCCCGGGCAGGCAGCGCGGCCTTTTCCTACAGCGACTCAATCTCACCTCGGCTTCCCGAACGGCGAGAGGTTAGGAGGGAGCCCCGTCCTTGGCAGTCCGTCATCGCGGCCCCGGCGGGGCTGGGGCAGGTGCTGCCGGCCGCTCACGCTGCCCCGGAGGTGGCCCCGGGAAGGGGCTGGGGGGCCCCGCGGCCAGCGCTCCCGAGCAGAGCCAGCGGTGGTCCCCGCTCCGTTCCGGCGGCACCTCCGGGGTGCCGAGAGCGCGGCCGTGCCTCGCGCCCTCCGTCCCCGCTGAGCCGGGCCTGCAGCAGCTCCGGCGGGCTCTGCTCCGCTGGAAATAAGCACATCCATCCCAGGAAGGTCGGCTCAGGATTAAAAAAAAAAAAAAAAAAAAAAAACCAAACCCAAAACATATGCACTCACCTCACCGACAACACGAAGACCAAATGCAATGCTGACGCTTAAATTTAATCAGCTGCAATTATTTGCGCACAAGTCAACTAATCTATTCCCAGCCCTAAACGTGCGATAAGATCCTTTAAAAGAAGCGCGGCCCGCGTTTGCGCCGGGCTTTTTGCCATCCCTGGTTTTCAGCTGCCCCTTTTTTTTCACAGCTGCAGGTGGTTTACGCAGTGGAAGATCTCCCTGTAGTTACCCCATTTGCAGCCAGGACCAGGCGTGGAAGCAAAAAGCCCAAAAGGCCGCGGAAAAGGCAGGATAGAGCGGTCTGACACCCGGCGATGGGCTCCGAGTCCTCCCTGTCATTGAAAGTCACCGTGCCCCCGACTGCTCAGAAGTTTCACACTCAATTTTTCTGATGTCTCTCATGAAAAATGATATTTCCTTACCCATCAGAGAAGATATTTTCCCCGGCAGGTATGCTGTCGAACATGTTGCATTCACAACATGACACAAAGTCTAAAAATCACAGAGAGACTAATTACTGGAGGAAAATTACACCAAAAGACCAATTTCCTGGTGATGGAGATGACAGCCCGGCGCCCGGCCCCCCGGCCGGTTTGGGCAGCTCGCCCGTGAGACGCTGTCACACGCCGCTGCCCTGGCGCCACGGGGGAGAGGGGCTCAGCACCCCAGAGCCCCCCCCGCCCCCCCAACCCGTCACCAGCCCCCGATGCCTTTGGGGCAGGGAGGGGACGGCTCCTGCCCGCCCCCCCTCCAGCACCTGGGAAATTGGATTTGCCAAATATCCCGCCCGAAGGATGCGATCCCCCAGCCCCCCCCTCGCACTCACCGGTCCCCCGGGGATCCCGGCGGGATGAACGTCGGGGGCGCGGCGACTGGGGAAAACACCAGGATTCAGACCCGGCCCCCCCCGGGTCCAGCACAGCATCCAGCCACCTAAAATCAATTTAGAAAGACTTAAAATGAAGACCTGCCATACCTCCTTTCTCTCTGTTTTCCATCCTTTATCAGAAAATTAATATTACTTCATAAAGCAATATTAATTCTTACGTAGAAATGCAATTCACTTAATGCTGCAATAGCTACAAATACAGTCAAATAATCCTTCAACTCTAAGACTTTATATAAAAGCAAAAATGCCACAAAGATAATTTATATGAAAGCTGAGGTATGGTTGATGAATTAGTTCATATTTACCTAGATTATGTATAATAAATGTAATGTATATCATTTATATCTACATAGTTCTAATTTAGTTGGAATCGGAAAATAATGCAACATGAATTCATATGAAAAACAATTTTGTACAGGAAAATTAAAATGGTAGAGCATATTGTTTTATATGAAATATTGAGCTGTGTAATCTTATTTGTTATATGCTTTAAGCAGACTTCAGTAGGAAAACCATATTTGTTCCCTTTGGAGCTTCTTTATAAGTGTATAAAAGCTTTAATTTCATACGGTCATAAACGGGTTGAATTTTACAAAAATGCCATCGTTTTTCTCCCTTTTTCCATCAGCATTAAAATGTGATAAGCAGATATTCAGAAACGCACACCAGCTCTTTCTTTTGCGTTTAGTTATTCAGAGAGCTATGTTAATCAAAACCAATTATTAAAAACTACTGGCGATTGCTAAGGATCAGTTTTGCGGAAAACGAACTAAAACAAAGCAAAGCAAAAAAATAAAAACAAACAAAAAAACCACCACAACAACAACAACAAAAAAAAAAAAAAACAAAAAACAACCAACCAACCAACCCAAAAAAATGCAAAAAACCAAACCAAACCAAACCAAACCAAACCAAACCAAACCAAACCAAACCTCAAGATATTTTGCCTGCTCTGCTGTACCAAGGCGCCTGGGGGACTCGGGCGCTGCGGCTGTAACCGATCCCCGGGATGGAGCGGTGGGGACAAAGCCAGTGAAATAAATTGCCAAGAGCAAGATGTTCCCCGTAAATGCCATTTTGAGACTTCACCTTTTCCCCTGCTGCCCTGAAGGCAATATTGCAAGCGGTTTAGCAACAAGCTGCGGGAACGTTTCTGACACAAGGAGCGGCTTCCAGAACGACGCGGCGTCAAAAACCACTGGAAACCCAACTGGAGGGCGAGATGAGCCCCAGCGACGGGTCGCGCCCCAGCGAGCTGCCTTTGGGTTGTCTCCGGCCCAGGCACGTTCCTCACGCCTCGGAGGGGAAAGAACCCGTAAGACGGGGCAGGGGGTGTGAGAAGAGGCGTCCCCAGGAGGAAACGGTTGACTTCTGCCCGATTTTCCTGTATTCTCGGTAACGCGGTGCTGAAGCGGGGAGGAAAAAGGGAGCTGGTGTCATTGTTAGAGCTTGAGCTGGGTGCCAAGCTGCCAGGATGCTGCCAACGATAACGGAGTCTTTAAGATGTCTATTAAAAACCCCCGGTATTCTGAAATGCAAGAGAACTAGCCTTGTGCAGAGGTAGAAAGTAATTATGCAATTCTTATGTAAAAGATGCAAGCTTATTTTCAGGGAATGATGCATGGCCTTACACATGACGTCTCGATTTCTTCCCGTTCTGGAGTACACCGGAGATGTCTCACTCTTCCAGCTCTCCAGGGCTAGAGTTGGCTTCTTCCGCCACTGAAAACCAGAGCCAGGGGGACTTGTCAGAGGTAAAAAAAAAAAAAAAAAAAAAAATTCTTCGATCAAATCAATTTTTAAGCAGCCTGCATAGCTGTGTGCAGCGCATACAGCTGATCCAAAGCCCGTGAACACATATAAGAAAGGTGAATTTGATAAAGAGTAGTCCTGCATTAAAAAAAAAAAAAAGAAACGAACCAAACCAAGCGATTGACACGGGTAAGTGTTGGACGCTGGCACAGTGTCTGGGTTCAGAAGTGCCACGGCCGAGGTGCCGGGCTGCTGCTGGGGGCAGAAGCACGAGGGCTGCTCTGCGTGAAGCGGCCGGTGCCTCCGCTGGCGGAGGGAGGGGGCTGCCCTTCGCCTTCGCTGAGGAGACGGTCGAGGCCCCGTGTCCAGGCCGTGGGGGGTTCCCAGCCGCCGGATCAAAGTCCCACGAGCCCAGCTTGGATTTGTTCCGCTGACCCCACGGCGGCGGAGCCATCCTTCTGCTGGGGTGGTGGCCTCCGCCGGGACACACGCCGTCTCCACACACGTCCTCCATCCCTCTGCAGCTCTCCTCGGCCCGGACTCAAGGCTCAGCGCAGTCCCAAGGCTCGTTCCTCCTCTTCATCCTTCGGGCTGGTCACCTTGACTTTCTCAGCGGGGCTACCGACCTTGACTAACTGGTCGGGCTGTGGCTGGAGACGTGTGGGGGTTAGCTGGCCCCAGGTGGGGCTGGGTGGCCACGGGGCATCGCCACATTCACATCTGCAAGCCGCAGCGGCCGGGTCAACAGCTCCGTAACGCTGGCAAGACACGGGGAAAGGACCGGGGTGATGTAAAGGTACAACTCACCACGGAAATACGTGCCCAGCCTGCCCCGGGAGCTTTCAGAGAATGAGTATTCCCAAGCTATCACTTGTTATTTTGGACTATAAGTAACACATCACCCGATTGTGAAGAAGGTAGTTTAGCACAAGGCCCTGGCTAGAGTCACCCAGTGAACTAAAACGATGTATGAAATGTGTTTCACGGGGAGTTGTAATACAGATTAGTTACAGTTGCAAGCAAGGTCTAGCTCTTGAAAAAAATGGACTGATAAAATACATATTTTAGATCTCCAAGGAGATCTTGCCAGCTCTCAAAATAGTCCACGAAGTAATCCTGCGATTATGAATCCCCCTTTTTCTTTGATTTAGCACCATCCCCTTCAGGAAAAGATTCCCCCAGCTTAAAGTGCTTTGGAAAATACTCCCCATCTATGCTCACATAGAATTATTTTTGCCTCCTTCCAGCCCCTCCTCCATCTGCTCCACTCTCCTCACTCCTCCAGGTTAAGTACTTTCCCCTGACAAATATCCACTGCAATTCATTTCATCTGAAATGCCAACAGTTCTTAACTGAATAAAATCCAGAATTACTTCCACGTGCCTCATATAAGTGAATACAAACCCAGTCCTAACTGTGATATCCTCCACAGAACAGCACTTTTATTCTGCGTAGAATAGGATGAAAACTTCCCGCCACAACTTTAATTTTTCAGTTGTAAACCATCCTTTCCCAAGACCACTTTTGCTGGTTGTTTGTTTTCTCTCATGGACAACTTTTTAGTTTCTAGGTTCCCTTATCGTTCAGGTCATACGCCCCTCCCCAGCCCCGGGACAGAGACTCTGTCCATCAGCGGGACTGCGTCGCTTCCCTTTATCGACCTTTTCTGGCTCAAGAAGCAGCTCCAAGACTTTAGACTTTTATAACCATCACTCGTGCAGCTAAACGTGAACTGCCCTCAAGAAAGAAGAGCCCAGTGTGCAAGGTGGCTCGGGGAGGAAAGCCGGGTTGGACAGTCACACAGTTGAGTTGGTTCTGTGTGCGTTTGGCTACTGAAATGCCACTTTTTGCGGGGCACAAGGCACGCCTGCGTTTCGGTGCTCCGCTCGCTGGCGAGGTGATCACCCCATGCCTGCGCTTACCTTGATACCTACATCACCACGCAGGACTCGGGATTTACAAAGATAGAAGCCATGAAAGATGAAAGGGCACGAGATTCAAAACGGGAGGAAGAATAGATTAGTATTTCCTGGAAGCTCACTAAAGGGCAAAAAAAGGCATTTTCCCCGTGAATGGCGTACATATAATCTCTCTGTTTCACTGCCTCAGACCGCAGAGCAGAGAGGCAGTGGTCTTGGTGAGCAAAATACATGTTACAAAGGTTAGAAAAAGTCACCGAGCAATTTTTATTGTCTGTTTTTTTTTTGTCAGGATGCTGAAAGTTGAAAATTTCCCCCAGTGTTAATAATACAGTATTAGTTACACACGACTGCTTTACTGGAGTTAAACCAACATGACTCCTGCTCACTCAGACCTGAATTTCTCCAGCGGCCAGCTATTTAAGAAAACAAAAGCCGTCATCATTTGCAATATAGGTCAGTACTTAGTATGACAGGAGCCTGCACGCAGACCAAGCGCTATTTTGAACTCCGAGCATTTGCAAAACATGCCACAGGAACATTTGCTTTGAGGGGAAATTGTGGCACTGGGCGTTTCAAAGATAAAACTCCTGCAGAATCCCCGCTTGAAAAGAAACCACATCCCAGCAGACCGATAGCCTAACGCACAGATACTCATCTATAGGCCAACACAGCTCGGATGGGTCCAGATTATTTGTTTGGATGATTTGGGGGGTTTAGGAGTGAAAGAAAATCCACTGCTGAGACTTTCCCTGCTGACAAAACGGGGCCAGGGTTTTTCCTCTGACCGATGCTTTGCCGACCATGGGAGTTGGCAGCGGTTACAGGCAAGGGGTGGGAGCTTTGACGCTCCAAAGTCATTTGTTTTCATCCCTTTCACCATCCACCAGCCTTTGCATCCAGTACAACTTTAAAAACACATTTGCTCAGCATTAGCCCTGCTATTCCGTGTGGAATCCCATAAATTACAGCTGTTGCTAGAAAATTAAGATGTATATAGGGAAATCATTCACAAACCCTCTATCTGTTGCATCTGGAAGTTCTGGAGTGTTGATTAGTTAAATACATAATTACGAGATAGCCTTAAAGGCAAAAGTTGTAAGCAGTGACTTTTGCTAAGGAGTCTCCTGTTGGTGTTATCATACGAAATATAAAATGCTGCGAGTCTAAAGAATAAATTTATCTTAAAGGAAAAAGTTGAAAGACTCGCGCTGATGATACAACTTCTTCAGAACATTTCTTCACAAGTTAGATTATAATTAAATACAAATTAATTACTCCCACAAAGCATGTCATTTAGGCAAAAGCCTGCGTTTTTGAGGACTGTTAGCATCTTGTTCTGCAATTACACAGCTTGGAAGCATAGTTTGGTTTCATTTTTGTACTATTGCTTCTAGACTCTATACGTTCACACCCATTTCAAAAGAAACCATTCATTTCCACATGCGGCGTGGCGGTAACGCAAATAACACGTTGGCACGAGCCAGACCAGGAGGGACTGACAAACTCAAAACCAACTGGCACCCAGTTGGAGCCCTGAGAAGTGACCCAGCAACATTTTCCATTTTGTTTCTGAATCCTTTCAAAATTCTTTCGCTGAAAATTTTATCAAAAGTGCAATGGTCCCGTAAACCATTTCAGTTTCAACAAAAGTATATTTGCCAATGAAAAACTGTTCAAATGTTCTTTTTTTTCTGCCAGCTTTAACTGCTCTGAGTCGTTGAAAAAAAGCTCTGGGAATTTCTAGGGGATAATTGTTTTAACCATCCAGCCTCACAGCTCATTATCATGAGTTCTTTATCTAGAGGAAAATCTCTGCTAACATGAGGAGTCACTGGGAACTCTCAGGTGTTTTGTGCCTTTGAAAAAACAAGCTGTTTGACTGAATTTCTGAATACAGCTTTTTTTTTTTTTTTCCCCCCTCTGGAAGCAGAGTTATACTAAATGACATCGTATGACAATTTATTATTTATGCATGCTATTAGAAGTGCTGACTGCATACCCAAAGTATAACATTTGAAACCATGTCTTTATTTCATCCCATTATAATAAAGGACTGTTGTACCCTGACATATTTACAGCCTCGACCGGAGGAGTCGGTTATGTGCCAGATAATTGTCTATCAGCTCAATACAAAGCGCAACTGGGTCCTGTGACCAGCAAACCATCAGGAAACTGGTCCAGAGGGCCCCTCGGCTGCCCCACGCTGCTCTCAGCCTCTGCCTCCCTTCTCCCCTGGGAAAAGGGCTCCAGCCCCCCAGAAACAACCCCCCCCTGCCCAACACGCACCTCCTGACTGTGGCCGACAAACTGCTGCAGGGGAGCATTCCCGCACTGCACCCAAAGCCACCAAAAGTGGACACGAGCAGGGCACTCCTGCCAAAACCCGTGAAAATCGCCGCTGAAGGCTTATTCATTTAAATCAAACATTCTCAAAATAGAAGTCGTTTCCTGGCTGTTTGTTTGTTTTTTTTTTTTTTTTTCTTTCAGGGATAGCTGATGCCTTCACCTTTTACAAACCGACAGCTTTTTGAGATGTAGCTATAAACATTTATTTTCCCCAAAATAAAGATTCAAATTAAGCGCCGCAGGGTCAATAAAGGAACATTTTGATTGCTTTCCACACGTTATCCTTCAGGTTGCTGATTCATAAGGAACTCGGGCAGTTTTTGCCCCAGTTTGGGCAAGAGGCACTGTTGGAACCTAAAAAACTGCGGTGGGACCAGGAGCGTGTTCCCTGCCCGGGATTTAAAGAAATTCCTGGCTGGTAGCGGCAGCCAGAGCAGCGCTGAAGGCGCTCGCCACGCACGAAGAGAGAGCAACAGGGCAGGTAACTCCGACGTCGTGTGGAAAAGAAAGGGGCTGCGCCTACGCAGCGACCGGGTTCCCATAGTTAGCAGGGGGTGGGTGACATCCCCCCTCTGCCACCGCCTCTCCCGGGGGACAAAGAGAGGGGGGGGCTGAGCCCCCCCCCAGCCGCTCGGAGCCCGGCCGCCCTGGCGAAAGGGTGAGACACTTCCACGGGCAAAGATGCCCTCCTGCCGCGCTTGACGCGCAAGTGGATGTGAAGAATCCGATGAAGAGCTAGATTAGGGCTTTTAAAATAATTGTGATAAATGACAGCATCTGCATGCGCTAATTTCCCTCAAGATGTGTTAGATTAATTTTATGAAATTAACGTCCAGAATAGCAAACGTTAGCCATTCGCGTGACCAACGCTCTGAATCCGTTTGAGCTCTGGCAGCTCCGCGCGTGCTTTCAAGCTCTTGGGATCCAGGGACCAACTCGGGGTGAGGGGGAACACGCGGAGGGAGCCCAAAGCTCGGGAAATTCACGTCACGGGGGTAACCCAAGAGCTTGGGAAGTTCGCTGAATGGAGCATCTAGCCAGGACACTCAAAGTTCAGGGCTTGGCACGAATATTTTCCAGTGGTATTCCTGTGTGTTTGGGTACTCCAGGTTGCATGCTGCTCGCCCCGAAGGGTGAAGGATCCTTTAATCACGTTTGCTGAGTCCTGCGAGCGACTCGCAGCTGGCGCCAGGCAGTTCTCAGAGCTCAACAGGACCTGACCCGGGCTCTCCAGCACCGTGCATGACGCTTAATCCCACATAAGACACAGCTGAAGGGGACGGTACGCTACCGGTTCCCTTTCCTTTTGACAGACTGCAGGGAACAGAAGGTGATTTTTACTGTCCAGAGACGTGTGAAGTGCTGCAATCCCCTGCTCCTTCCTCCTTCTCAAGATCTGGGACTAACTCTCCAGTGCCACCAAGTTGACATGGGTGTTTGAATACACACCGTCTTCTCATCTGGTTCAACGAGCTTCATCCCAAGGAACGCGATGTCTGTGAGATACGAGCATCTGGAGGAAGAATGCTGAGCTGAAACTCAGCCCAGAGGAAATGGAAGTTGGAAGAAATATGGTAACACTTAGCAGAGCAAGCCAAGACCATGACTCTCTCCTCTGCTGAGGGAATCCACACTCCGGCTGCCAAAACCTGGTTACTGCAGGCAGCCTACTCTGCTGGTTGGGCTGGACCGTCAAGAAACAAAAAGATGATCCTTGTATTGGCCCCGTCCCTTCCAGGCTACCAACGGCGGCAGCTCCACGCCACACCTCGAGCCAGCCCTTCTACCTGAACCTCAAACCCACCGGAGCTCTGCTGAACGGCAAGCACAAGGAAAGCAGAGCAGGTTTTGTAACCGCAGCGCAGAGGTGACCGAGGCCTCTTTGGTTCTCCTGCTTCTGGATCCCACCAGGTCCTTGCCGATCCCTCCGAGTAAGGAGGTGAGACCCCAGGACTCGGGCAAGGAGGGGCTGCAGAGCATGGGGATGCATTAGGCCCACGGGGAAACAGAGAGCCTCGAGCAAGAGATTAAAAAAAGAGTTTCTATGAAGAATGCAAAACTGCCCCGGTTATTCTTTGAAGCGCCCGTGTACGTGTGCATATCGGCACTCGGGTTAAAACCAGAGTTTCCAGGAGCTCACCTGCACGGTCCGAACCGCTGCGAGTGTCACGGTGTGCCTTACAGCAACCTTCCTCACCACCGTTTTCACGCGCCGCTTCTAGAACCAAGGACACGGAAAACTTAAGAGGAAAGAGCGAAAAACAGGACGACACATTCCTAGAAGACGTACAACGGCCTTAACGGCGCGCTGCAGCTGGACTTACGCCTGGAAAGGGATCCACGTTCCGCCTGCCGGGTGTTGGAGCCCTTATGGCCAAAGCCACCTCCCGAATCGTGGAAGGGTCCAGCTGGACACTTTGTTCTGAGGAAGAAAACACACGAGGTACCGACCGGGATCAATCCACCTGCACTCAAATTCACACCTCCAACACCGACCCAACAGGACACGCCTCGGCCTCAAAACATTTGCTTTTTTCCTGCCCTTTCAGTGTATTTCCCCATGAGCCTCAAGATGAAGCAGACTTCTTGCTCAGGCAGAACTCACAACTGAGGCAGCCCTGAGCCACAGGGTTCCAAAAATCACGCTTAACTGCGATTATCCCTGTCTGATAACAATTATCAACTCATGTTACGTATGGAATGCATTCAGGTTCGTTTAGAACTTTAAAACATTTCTGCAATCCGACCGTAGGGATTTTTATTTTTTTCTATGCATTACACACGCACAGAGACATCTATCTTGATGCGTGAGCGTATCTATCTGTATACACACACACACACAGGACTCGCACACCCACGTGAGCACATCACTGAGGTTGCACCACGGCTGTTGTCAGCTCTTGCTTCAGTTCCCCGTTGCGATCGGAAGTCCTGACCTCACCCATAAATGTCCCTGTACAGTCCCCAAGGGCTCCGGGGTGTCATTTCAGCAGAACTCTCCGCACACAGAGTCATCTGTCAGTAAGTGTTGTGTTTTCTCTGCTGTAGCAGCGCTACACAGGTACTCTGCTCTCTGCAAACTCACACATGTATGTCAAGTTAATTCTCACTCGCTAATTCTGAGGAAAAGAAAGCCGACTTCTGTTAGAAGGACTTGGGCTTGGGAATGGAAAGTGGAGGCGGAAATAAGGATCTGTGGAGTTTGGGGGTTTTTTGGCTGGATTTAGCAAAGAAGGCAAGTTTGCTTTTCTTCTGCTAGCTTGGGCATGAGTGGGGCTGCAGGGGAGAGGAATCCCGTAACAAAACTGCACGGGCAGCACATGCTAACTGGGGGGATAGGCGGAGGCTGCAGCCAGCTCGTGGGGAGCAGGGAGAGCTGCAGCCCCTGGAATTAATCTTCAGCTTTTGGGACGCTTATAAGTTTTCTAATGAAACATGTACCTCACTGAAGCCTCTACGACTGCAGTCAACAGCGGGTGAGTCCCTGGCCGGAGACTGAAGGGTGAAGGTTCTGCAGGAGCAGCAGCCCGAGCGCACTGAAACAGCGTCTGTCTCATCTTTTAAAATAACTTCACCTTGGCAGGTGGCAGCAGCGGAGGCCACGAGCGACGCTGCGGGAGGCACACAAGTGCAGCGTTAGCCACCCACAGCTGCAGAGAGCCCAGTATTTGGTGGCCCTTTACAGCCCCAGCTCCCCACATCAAGTCACCTTTAACACCTGCTCATGGCCCTGAGAGAAAACATTTAGAAATCGAAGCTTGTTCTACCATAGGGGACAGGGCCAAACGCAACAGAGCACGTAATTTTTAAACGTTACCTATTATTTAGCAATATTACTTTCTAGAGAGTACCTCTAGCTCAATTTTTGAATGCTGGGAGAAGCCAGGATTAAGCCGTCAGTCTTGCAGGGGACTGTTCCAACCAGAGAGGCAGCCTGCAAAACAAAAGGCAACAGGCAGGCTGAAGGGGATCAGCGGAGAGAGCTGCTCTTCACGGCTACGTGTGCCGATACGGGAACAAAAAGGGAGTTATTGCAGCCCCCCACCTCTCACCCGAGGTCCTGCCAGCAGCGGGCGGGTTTGGGGTGATCCATCTGAATGAAGATTCACTCTGGCAGTTACAGATCTGAATTAGAAAAAACAATGAGACAATCTGTCCGGGTGCCTAATAGAGACACATAGTTGAGACACCTCTGAAATTTAGGTGAATTCATTTAAAACAACACAGACATGCAAAATCATATAAGTTAACCTTTTAACCGGGCACATAACATTTCTAATCCTTTTCACGTCTCCAAATGGAGAGGAAATTTCCAGGATCAAATGTAGCTGCTACAGCACGGCTGAAAGGAACAGAGCCAGGATTATTCCCCATCCATTCACTGAGAGTGATCCTGGCTCTCACGGTGCTGTAGTTTTGAGGACTTCCATAGATTTACCTGCACCTCCCGCTGCTTCCACCCCTGCACAGAACACAGGCCCTGATGAAAACATCTCTGCCATCTTCCCCTCCTAAACCGGGTCATTTTTGTGTCGGAACAGCAGTGTCGGCCCCTTCTGTACACTGAGAATATCAGCAACAACCAAAACAAAAAATAACATTTTACAGGTGTGGAAGGACGCCGGCGACGCCGTCGGCTCGGTGTCTGTGTGTGCCATCCATTTCGCTCCCATTAGCAGCTGGAACTCAGCACACATTTACAAGCATTTTGATTTTGTCTCTGCATTGTTTTCAATTAGAGGCTTTTTCGCATGTGACGCACCAAGGGAAAAACAACTCTTAGAGTTAGAACTAAGGTACTCCCGGAGACAAATGTGATTAATGGGATAATCTTGTAGATTACAATAGTTAGAGGCAGTTCCTGCCATTTCCCACTCTCCAAGGACTGGTTCTGCTCACATCCAATATAGACAGCTGCAGATTCCTCAGCACCATTAGTATCCAATGTAGGAACACGTTCGACATTTTAAAACTCCTGCAATGTGCCCCTTCTATAATTGTGTATTGTCTGGACTGAGTTTTACAAATTAAAGCTTAAATAGAGTAATTTCTCGACTGAGGGAATTTTTGTGGAGTTAGTTGCGTACACGCTTACCTTTGCATAAATATATGCACACACCCACTCCCCCCCCCTTGGTGCTCACATCTATTGTGAATATTATCCTTAAGTTCATCACGCCCTAATTAAACAATGATCAAGTGTTCTTAAATAACCCCGTTGTCCCCGGGAAGAGGTGCACCTGATGGGTAACAGCAGCGATGGCTCCTGGTTTCCACCTGCACTCGCATCCAAGCAGAGGGCTGCAAACACACGGCGGGAGGCACCTCCTGAACGAGTTTCCTCAGCTCTACAAGTGGACACTGCGGGAAGGGTTAATTGTGATAGCTCCCGTTCAATTAAAAATCAGGTCGCTACTGAATTCAGGTTATTTTCCTCCGGCCCTTTACATTCTGCAGCACTCCGAAAACGAATGACAAAAGATAGAATACATTTTATGAGGGAAAAATCATTTTGGCAAATATCTGGCAGCTCACCGATTTCAGATTCTGGCCTAAGAATACAAGATTAATATTTCTGGTAAGGCGATCGGCAAGGAAAATCTCTCTGCAAACACCGGCACACCGATTCTCGGCGCTGGTTTGAGTCAGCAGCGCAGCGAGGAGTGAAGCAGAGCACTTGTTTCAGGGGTTTGCTCCACGGCCAGCTCGTAACAAGTCCGGCAGCATCACCCGCACGTAGGCAGTGGCTTTTTGGGATGGGTTTGGGGCTTTTAGGGGGTTTTTTAAGTCGTTCGCATCCAGCTGCTGGAGGTAGCAGGAAAAGGAAACAACACGCCAGCGCAAAACTCAAGGCAAGGGACAAACTGTATCGCGAATTCCACGCTCGCGGACTTTCAAAACACACGGGGTGCGGTCTGTACATTCTGAGGCAGCGCCATTCGTGACCAAAGCGCCCCAGAAGCGCCCTCGCAGCGGCACCGACCCCATTTTCCCCGGCGGGTTCGCTTTTCCCGCCTCTCCCCGCCTGAGGGCACGGGCGGGCTGCGCCGGGCCGGCGGCGCCACCTGCTGGAGGCGGGCGGCAGCGCCCTCGCGCCCCGGCCCGACATGGCGGCGGGGTGAGCGGGAGAGCGGAGCGGAGCCTCGGCTGCCGCTGGAAATCGGCGTGAGGGCGTTGCGGGGCTTCAGCCTGGGGAAGAGAAGGGCTCCGGGGAGATCAACGAGCGGCCGCCCTGGGCGTACAGGGAAGGTGGGGAGGGACTCTGTCAGGGGATGAGGGGGTAGGATGAGAAGTGACGGTTTTAAGCTGAAAAAGGGCAGATTTAGGTGAGCTATGAGGACGAAGTTCTTCCCTGTGCGGGGGGTGAGGCGCCGGCCCAGGGTGCCCAGAGCAGCTGTGGGTGCCCCCTCCCTGGGAGGGTTCAAGGCCAGGTTGGACGGGGCTGGGGGAAGGGGGCCCTGCCCGGGGGGGCACGGGGGGGCTTTAAGGTCCCTTTCACCACAAACCAGCCTGCGATTCTGTGCTGGAACTGGAGTTCAGCCCATTAGGTTTTGGCTTCTTCAGGGCTCTGCCTGGCAGCGTGGCACGGGGCAAAGCTCGGGAGGGAAGAGGGGCCCGAGGAAGCTGGTCGATACCCAGCGATCACCGCCGAGCTCAGGAGGGACGCATCCCGGCGAAGAAGTCGTGCAAGAGCCCCACGAGGCCCGCGTGAATTATGTATTTCAACACTTCTGTGCCTCACCTAATAGCCTGCCGCTATTAGAGAATCACAGCACGGCTTGGGAGGGTCCTTTAAAGGTCCAACCCCCCTGCCATGGGAGAAATTTCCACCTTAGCAAATACCATCCTTACACCTAGTCTAAACCTCCCCTCTTTCCACTTAAAACCATTACCCCTGGCTTTAAACTATTTTAAAAAGCTGTGCGGACAGCCACCGAGAGCGCGTGCACGAGGCTACCAGCAAAGCTGCCCTCAGCTGCTGCAGAGAAGCAAACGCACTGCTTGCTTCGTTGTGTGGAATAACGTGTTTCTTCGAGCACCTTTCCGATAAGGCAAAAAACTTGTCTTTTAATGTTTAAATAAGGTCAGCCGTTATAGGAAAGCTGCAGCCACGTCCACCTAGGATTGCGCGTGAACCAGTAAGATGTCAATTAAGCCAGCCATCGGCATCGGGGAGCTGTGTTCAAGCAACATTTCATCAACACATAAATTCAACAGTGCTGTGTGGTGCACTATCTGTGCACCCTCGCTACGTTTGTTTCAGCACTACCCTCCATTTCAGTGAAGAAAAATCAAGAAGTGAAAAAACTTTCAAAGTTCTGCCAATATTCAAGGCCAATTAAGCAGGAGTTGCTTTGACACCAGTCCTGATGCAAAACCAAACAACCCCCCAAAAAAAAAACCACCACAAAACAAAAAACAACAGGAGTTTGAAGATTATCAAAAGACAATCAAAAGGTAGGAGTATCGTTAATGCCAGTCAACATAGATTTATAAAAAAATATGACCTTATTCACACAAAACTAACTTATATAC